TATGTAACCAAGCGTTTTAATGATTTGGCCAATTAATCGATTAATCGAAAAAATAATCAACAGATTAATTGATTATTAAAATAATCATTAGTTGCAGCTCTAGAGGGAGGAGAGGTTTCACTCAGGACTGACTGCTCACCTGCTGCTTTACTGACCTGCCCTGCTCTGCTCTGATTGGATAAAAGTGCTCTGGGGTTTGTTTCACTTAGTAGTGGCGCTTTTAGGGGTAGACTGGGCGGCTTTAACAAGACCACAACATAAAAAAAAACAGATTTTTTTCCCTCCCTTACAGATGACAGAAAACCGTCCTGGCCACGTTCAAAGTGAAGGTGAAGGAGAAATTTAAGCTCTGTATATTTTACTGATTTTTTTATCCAAACAATCAATGATTTGTACAAGTAAATGAGGAAAATCAACAAGCCTGCCCAAACTTTCGCACCCCACTGTATGTTCTGTTTTTTAACACATCTACATGTAAATAACAGGAAATAAAGCTGACATTCTGAACTCTTGTTTCATGCTCATGATTTGACCTTAAACCTAAATGTCTTCAGTGTACAACAAAAACAAGGTCATTTGATTTATGTTCCAAAACCTTTGGAGGGTACTACATAAAAATTTAATGAGGTCATTTGTGTCATGTAGCACATACAGTACAGTCATGGGCTCAAGAGTCAAAAGAAAAGAAAATGACCATGTGATCTTCACACATATGCTACAGTGACATCACATTTGACGACCTACTGTATAGAGCAGCTGCACAGGCGTAACTGGACTGATGAAGACAGTTCTGAGGCATCGAAGACAGGCTTCAATGAAGATCAGGTCTGTGCACAGAAGACCTGTAAAAGACAGACATTTTAAAGTCTGGTTCTTTGCCCTGTTTGCATGCATAAAAATGTGTGTGCATGGTCTAACCTTGAAGAAGTATGGGGATAATGTGACAGTCCACCAGGGACTTGATGTTGTTCTCTGTGCCCATGGCAAGGCTGCCCAGCACCACAGCACACTCTGTCCTCAGCTGCAGGCTGGAGGAGCTTTGCTGGAGCAGGTATAGTAACCTGGATGCAACGAGAACAAAAGAAAAGCTAAAAAATCTAAGGAAGCTGGTCATCTACACTGACCTGAAGCAATGCCTTATAATTAATAAGTTACACTATAACTTTAACAGTTTCACATTTTTATTTTGTCACAGGATTAAGTAATATACGATACATACATCCAGACAACTTGTTATCGAAAGCTATGTTATGTTAGCTATGTTAGCACTGAACGTCAACTGGATGTAAATATACGGCAAGCCAGGAGTGACAAAATATAGAAACACATCTCAGACGTGCGTACAAGACGGCATGGAGAAGAATTGATCTCATGTCCTGTGAATCGATTTTCCCAAATTTAAATGAAATCGATCCAAGATCGATTAAATCGATTTTTTTACCCAGCCCTAGTTATTAAAGCTTTGCTCTGCGCGACGTGGAGGGAGGAAGGAAATGATCCCGACGTAACTTTTCTACAGTGTATTGGGCTGTGTATTGGGAAGAATTTGGCGATACGATACATATCATGACAGAGGGGTCACGATACGATATATCCCGATATATTGCAATACTGTAAGCAAGGCGATATATTGTGATGTATTGCGATTTTTTTTGGTCCAAAAATTCTGCTAAATAAAAACCTCTTACTGGAAAAAAAAAAAAAAGAAAAACCAAAATTCATTGTCTCATAAAATTCTATTACATAGACATGCGCTAGCTTTCTGTAACGTGAAAGCTGACTACAGTTGGAAAAAAGAGCGCACGAGACACTTAATTTGGTTTAAAATACAGACATTCTGACAAATAAGTAACTGTTTGTAACCTTACCTCAGCTTAAGGGCTCGACACACGGGAGGCGACGTCACTCGCTCCCCGTTCATTTCCTATGGAGCCTGTGCGGTGAGGCGACAATCGC